GATTTCCCTCCAACTGGGCGTTTGGGTTCTGTGATGGGACAAGTTGTTGCACCTTTCTACCATGGATGTTGTTACTGCTGGGAGTGGCGGCTGAATAAAGCCCCTTGTCTTGTCTCAGGGTTCAGGAAGCGAGGTAAAGCCATTGGTTCAACAGTGCATTACTCCAATGGATCAGCCATCGGATATAATGGTATAGTATTAAGAGAGCTCTTACTGAACTCCTTATTTAGGAGGCCACTGAATTTATGCTCCTTTTCCTGAACTGTCATAAGTTTTGCTTTCTATACTATTTTATCACTTAATACCATGGCTGCCCTGTAAAAAGTTCTCTGAAATGAAAACGAGGCACTCTACATTTATATTTAAGATCTGGATCAAGATCCAAAATTCTCATGGGTTGTGAACATCAAGATACCCTTTAAATTCAAAGACAGATCTGGTTCTGTATATTTAAAGACTCGCATAACACTCTCCATCTCTGACTACCAGACTAATAAATTATTAAGAAATTAATTTTATAGCATTATTGAGCTCCAGACTGTATACTTATATTTGGAAGAAATTCTTATATTCACTGAATTTGTAAAAATATCCCTATATTTTGAATCTATTCACTGCAGAGAATAGGTTAAAAATCGCTCTGACGTGCATAACCTGCCACTCAGTATGTGTTATACATCATTCCCATGTGCCTGCTCGCCTTGTGCCTGTAGATAACAATTTTTCAGTACTGCGGGATTTGGCTTTCAGTTTCTAAGCGGAATAATTTACTTTTAGGTTTGGAATTAGGCTTAGCTTCCCTTAAGCTGACCAAACTAATATCCATCACAGAAATACAGAAATGCTTTCACACTTCCAAATAAATCAATAGAAAAAGTCACTTAAGTTCTATTAAGGTGCATATTATAGTCTTGATCCCTGTATGGATAAATTCAAACCAGGACAGTTTAAGATACTCAGGCCTGCTTTCATATGAGATAGCCTGACACATTTTTCAGATTAACAAGGAACCGTAGGCCTATTTGACATAGTGAGAAAGAGGCTAAAAGAGGTGGGAGGAAGAGGATCTTATTTAGCCACTTCAAGAAGCAAAGTGAAATTACTGAACAGTCAGGTGAGCAAAAGGTAACTATTTTTCTGAACAGTGCTGCATCAGAAGCAGCAGATTTGTTTAATAGTCTACAGTTGAATGTGGAAGGATAAGTCAGTTGCCAGGGAGCAAAATGAAAGGAAAATGAAGGATATTGCACTTCTGCATAGACTGAAACTTTAAAAGGGTATCACTTTCTTGTAAGGAGTCAAAAGAGGGAGAAAGATCTATACACCTCTCAAGTTATTTCCTTCTAGCTAACAACAGCAGGTCTCAAGTAAATGTCTCCTCAAACCTATTACCTATTTCCCTCTTCCCTTCTTGCCCTTCCACAATATTTAATAGCTTTATCACTACTTTCTCTCTCTAACATATAAAAATTCACTAATTCTTAAACAGTTATTAGTGGGTACTTCATCTGTCTTGTCTGAGGTTCACTGGGAGACTGCCTAGCCCTATAGTGAGCTATTCCTCACAACCTTCCTGCACTGCCTTTCAGTGGTTACTGCTTCTGCACCTTCCTTCTGTCCTCTTTTCCTGTGTACTCTATAGTGTAGCATAGGGTAGTCACAGAAAGTGCAAGAGTATAAGACTCCACAACTGGAAAATTCTGAGGCTTGCAAGTAGCTGCAGAAAGGTTTGAGACCTTTGGGTATAATGGGCTGTAAAAGTAAAAACTGTGATTTGTTGTTTCTTCTAGTTACTGAGACCTAATGGCTGTCCCACCTTCTGTGGAGTTCAGTGATCTGCAGCTATTTCTATCTACTAAGAAGTCTGAATAAATTGCTGTTCTCTTTTTTCTCCTTTTAACGTATCTTAGTTCCACATTATTGTGCGACCTTTTGTGCACAATTATTATTGTGACATTCAGTTCAAAGACGAAAATAATACACCTAGATTTATTTTTATTTAAAAGTAAAACGTCTTCAAAAATGAAATCTGCGGCCATTTGTAGTAAAAGAAAAAGAGGCTATTCCTTCATTTTAAATTATAGTCTAAAAATGAAAAATATTAATGTAAGGGAATATGGTTGTGTATGAACATGCATTACTAGCTTAACATTATGCACATACACATACAGGTGATGGATATATACCTCTGTAATACACGCAACAGAAAGAACCTCAAGGAAACAAAAAAGATGCCAATAGTACCTCGAGATCACACCTTGCTTTTCTTCACTGGTCTTCAAGTGCATGTTTCACCTGAATTTACTATTTATGGTTCATTTTACATATGTTAAATGTTTACTTTTTGTTCTTTGTTACCTGTGAAACTGATTTTGCTGGGTCTACACCACATTAACTAACCACTAGTCAGTAGTCTATAACCTTGGGGTCTCTCCTGTGTCCCCTTTCTTACCGTCACATGCCTACCCTCTTCCACATTTTATCCTGTGTCCCCACTTTCAAGGTCTCTGCAGTCATACCATATCTATGTTCCTCTACACTGTATCATTATTTTAGAGTCACAAAAATTTGATTATACACAGAATGACTACTTGTTGCTACTACCTATATGAAAATTATACCATACAAGGATAAGCAGAAGTAAAACAAATAAGACATAGCCACCCGGTCGATAGAAAAATTGCTTTTACACATCAGGCAGCTAAAACAAAACTTTAAGTAGGCCAAAACAGGTTCAGACAAAGTAAACCTGAGAAGTCTCAATCTTGAGGTTTGCAAAGCTAAAGCTAGTACAGAGTCTGTAGCATATTACTGGCAATGGCAATACCATATGCACTGGGCTGCACAAAGTATAGCTTTCAGGAAAGTGGCTAGTGACTTTTTTAACTCTAGGTGAATGAGATGCTTCATGGCTGGGATTTGCAATAATCCGCATGCTACCTGGATAATCTCTTATTTTAGTCAAAGGACTTAAATGTGGCTTGTATGGAAGCATGTCTCTCAGAGGTAGAAGGTGAAGTGTTTCCTCCCAGGGATGAGTAAAAGATCACCCCGCTAGGATATGTGTTTAACTGGTCACTAAAAACAAGGTACTTAAAGGATGGGAAGGAGCGATGACATTCCTTAGTACCCTTGCTAGAGGCATGCCACTTTGAAAGATGGTTTTAGAGTCTGATTAGAACAGGAATTTCTACCACTCAGTGAGTTGTAGAACTCCCAGACTGGGCGAAGAGTGCATTTGTAGCCCTTACTCACACGGACACTTAGATATTTATCATTTTTGATTAAAAAAATACAAATACGATAAAGAAATGGGAAGTGAAACCTGATTCTCCCTTTCCCATATGGTGGCTTCATCACCAGTTTTCTGTAACTTTTTTCTTTGTAAGCTATATACATCTTCACTGGATGATCCAGCTTGAACAGAAAGATGAGCAATCTGCCTTCCTTCTACCTCATAAAGGCAAATCAATAGTTAGCAGAGGGCAGATGTGGCTTTGAATCATTCAAGCAGTGCAGGATTTGGCTGTCATATCACTTAGGTAAATTCTGAATCACCAGGCTGATCTATAAAAGGTTAATGAGAACAGCACCAGATTTGCTTCCTTGCAGTGTTTTTCTTTTCTTTATTTGTTTTGTTTTGTTTTGTTTTGTTTTGTTTTTAATAAGCACTGTAACTCATGACTGCTATTCAGTGCCTTACCAGAAGCATACTCTAGGAAAATGTTTCAATTCCTGCTCTTTAAGGCCAGGAGAGTGAGGAACGATTGCTCATCATTCTCAAGTGCATGAGCTATGAAATTGGTAGTTAGTTCTACCACAATGCCTTTGGTAGAAGAACTGTAGGCACCTAATATGTTTCCTGGCAATAACATAGACAACCCTGACTAGGATAGTTAATTGACTTTCCTTTATTTATTTATTTATTTGTTTTTGACCAGGTCCAAGTTATTAAATTTAAGCTTGTTCCCAGCTGCTAACTGATTCCCAGGAAAATAGCCTGAGTAGAGGATAATTTGCAACAGGAAGATATTCTTGTGACTACTTTGATCAGGAGAAAGTATTGAGAAAGTCCAAGCAAGAAGCATCTGGGAACATAATTCAGCTTAACCACAAGAAATGTAAAAAGAAAATAAATTGATCTAGCAATGTTTACTATTTAGTTAGCAAAGGAAAATGTCTTTCAATCTTTATGGGAAAGTTAATTAACGTAGAAATTCACATAGTGTCATGACAGTGGGGTTTTTGTTTGCTTTTCTAATTGTGGCTGCTAACCCTTGCTCAAATGTACTAAGTTGTGTTTTCTCTGTTGTTGCCAATTTAATTTAATGATTGGATATCCAAGTAGAAGAGGCTCTGGTTCAAACAATAATTAGTTTAAGGAAGCCCTATGTTGTGCCTTATAGAAGGATAAATTAAATGATGACGCATGCCTTTCACATTTTAAGATGAGTCACTTAAAACAAAGCAATCAAAAACTTTTTTAATTGCACATTACTTGGAAGAGGTAATAAAAAGATAAGAATTTTTTGTTAAAATAATGTAGGAATTCATCTTTAGAAAAAGGCTCATAAGGCAAATATTTAAAATTTAAATAACAGAAAATATATACTTTTTAAATAATTTCTTCCATTATAACTGAGTGTACATAAGTAGAATAGGCAAATTGAAGTAAACCTGAAACTTTTTCATTCTTTTCGGTATTAACCTTTCTTTACTGGGTGCCAGTTAAAAAAAAAACCTTTTTTTTTTTTTTTAAGAGATGGCATTTCTTGCGGGCTGCAAACCCTGCATCCATTCTTAAACAAGAAAGGTATCTCAAATTTAATTCCCACGGTCAACTAGTGCTGCTGTGTCTTGTGACATACCAGAAATGAAACATGTGAGTCTTATGAACGGGTTTTATGACCTCTTCATAAAAGAGTGTTTGAGTGATTTAAGGGTTCAAATACAGCTCTATACATTCATATATCTATTTTTTTTTTTTTTCTATTCCACAGATTACTTAAAAGGAGACCTACTACTTTTTGATTCAGTTCAGCTCCTGGGCATCATCACTTTTCATTCATACAAGAACTATTTTGTGGAGATCATTTCTGTTTTGAAGCACAACAGGAGAGTTGAGGTAGTGGATATTTAAACTAAACTGTTTTTGAAATGTTTTAATGAGCTTTACTGCTTGTACTTATTTGTTTATAAAATTAAGACCAAATATAGAAGCTCCTACCATCAATTTAACCTGAATATGTGGAAAATTTTCCTACCAATGGAATATAAGTTAAAAAAAGAAATACAGTTTTTTGGAGAATGTTGTTTTCCACATGGGTTTGTAGAAGGTTCTGTCCTGAAAGGGTTTAGGAGTCATTGTAAATGCTTTAAAACAATCACTATAGTATATACTTAACCTAAGTGCATTGAATAATTAGTTTTTAAAGTGATTTTTGTCTCATATTTAATATATCTGATTAGTTCTGGATAACTTTGGAGACAAGAATTAAACACAAAGTCTGCATCTCCCTTCAAACCTCCCAGGTGTTTCAAAGTGGCTTTGTATGGTTCTAGAATATGGTGGGTTCATTATAGGAGTTGATGACAAAGTCTGGATTCACAGGCGAGTTGTCATGAAGGCAAATCTAAAGGTCAAGGACAAGGCACCCTGTTAGGCAGTCAAAGCTTGCTCTCAACTAATATTACTGGCTGTGTAATTCCATGCATGTTTCATTAACTCATTCCAATTAGGTAGTATAGTGAAGCATGGAAATTTTTTTTTTATTTTGTTTTATTTTATTTTATTTTATAAATGTTCGAATAAATGCAAATCTGTATTAATGAAGCTGTTGAATTTGAAAAATGGTATGCTTTTTAAAAGTCTAATGTCATATAAACCAGGGCAATGTAATAACTGTAGGTATGAATCTGAGATTCATTATCCAGATGAACGATGGACATTCAGTTTAAATTTATCATGAACACAGCCACTGATGGAAATAAGATGGAGTAAATGTCTGTGGTTACCTGGTAGCTGGTGCGCCTCGTCATTTAATAGCTGAATGACTTATGATCATGTAGTTCAAAACACCTCTAATTAATTTTTGAGATGAGTCTTTATTCCCAACCTCAAACTATGGTTTATTAATAGGTCAACATAAAAAGCCTGCTAAAACGTAACATGTGCCTGTGCAAACATATTTGGAAGCACATAGTTCATTGTTGGACGTCAGATGCTTTACCTGCCGACCCAACTAATTGAGAATCATACTGAAAAGACTAGAAAGCCATAGTAATAAAAGAGATAGACAGTGCCTTCCAAACAGACATAACTGAATTAGAACTGATGATATGAGTAGATTCACTGTGTCATTTAAAATATAACACAGTTTAATTCATTTTCCTTCCCTTGATCACTTATTGCAATCACCAAAAAGACAGGAAGAATAAGCAGGGGAATTTTAACTTGCATTCTTTGCACAAACCTTCTTAATGCAGGAGATCTATTGAAGGATAAGCTTCATATGAAAAGGAGAGTTGTTCTGAGTTCATGGAAAACAGGCATTCTGGCATCTAAGAGATGCCAGTCAGGTTCTTGAGGAGCAAGAGGCAGTAGAAGGAGAGAAAAGAAAAGTTTTTCCAGGGCTATAAATGAAAAACTGTGCTTTGTTTTCTTTCTACGCAGAGACCAGTAGTGAGAAATTTAAGCTATAATTTTGAATGGGGTCTGAACTTTCCATAGACCTCTATTTATCCAAATTATAGTTACTTGTAAACTATGTAATTATTTATACTCTATTTCAGAATTAAGTAAGTCTTTAAACTGTCAACTTTTGATAGTGAACAAATATGTCAAGATCATTCCTGAAGACATTCTTTCTACAAAAATGTAGCAATATCAGATGACAGAACCAACTTGTAGCCTGCCAGCCTTTTGTGTATCGTGTTAACTGTATGTTCTACTGCAGCAGAGCAGAATTTATGCTTGTGTCTATTTCTTAAATCCACTTGGTTCATTTCATTTTTATAAATGTTATTTTCAGATGTTCAATTATAGAAATTCTTATTTAAAAATACAACATAAATTGTCAGTGAAACACAAATCACTTTGTGTTTTATTCCACTTATGTGAAGAAGGAGGATAATTTGGCACAATTTTAAGCCTAAGCTTGAAGTGTTTGTTCAGTAGCGATCAAGAATATGCTCTTAAAACAATATCTTTGCAACTCCATACCCTCAACCTCTCAGTAAGTACACAGTGTGAAGTACGACAGATTTAGGGAAAACTCACGCTGCTCCCTTGACTATAGGCCTTGTATTTCTTATTCAGTCAGTAGCTTGGAGGTGCAGGAACACTCTCATGCTTCCTTTCCCAAAATGCATACAATGTTCAGGATTTTGCCTAGGATTCTGCTTCTTCCCCTATTTCTATTTTTTTCCTTTTTATGGACTTAATTTCAGCTGGTTTTCCTAAGAATATGGCTGACGTGCACAGCTATGTTATATCAGAATAGCAGGGGCATGTCAAAGAGCCTGATTCTTCATGTTAAGTTAATCAATCAGATAAATGTAGAACAGTAGCAGAAAACTTTAACATAAACAAAAGAAACCTCTCCAATGCATATTTGTGAATAGCCTGTGTCAGTCTTTTAAAAATATCCCTCTTTACAGTATGGACCTTGGCAGAGTAATCACATTTAGCGGGAAATCTTTTTAGAACTGCACTTGGTTTTGAATTTTGAGGGGAAAAAAAAATACTAGTTCAGGAAAAAACTGCAAAATGAGATATATAGGGGTTTCTGTACATTGTTACTGAAAACAGTCTGAAATTCTGACAGTTGCAACAGTGATGGGTAGGAACAAAAGCAGAAGTGATTTGCAAAAATATAACACTGCATTGTCTTCCAAATGTGAAGATTTTAATAGATTAATATACCAAGTAAGTAGAAGGACCTGACGTGTATTAGTCATTTTATGTATGTGTAGAATTTAACAAACCTTAACTTGCTTGTGTTGGATAGAAGAAAAACAGAAAAATGACCTTTATCTTTGTCATCACTGCAAATCATGTTGTTCTACTGTTCCAGCGATGCGTAGAGGTGGAAATAACGGAGATGAGTACAATAGACTTTTCCATAGACTGAGTTTTCCAGGTCATTTAATTCTCTCTAGTGTCTTCAGAACCTTTCCAACAGAGCTAATGATAACAGATTGCCACATTATCCTGTTCATGGTGACCTGTTTGGGCAGATGCCAGAAATTCTACTCACTCAAAACTCTGAGTGAGAAAAGTGTTTACTAAATTCACTTCTAATGATTATTATAATGTTTTCAGGGCGAATAAAATAACATATTGTTTTACTGAGCACTCCATGTGTTAAATAATGATTTGATTATTGTGAAAATTGATACTTTGGATCTGGATTGCTGCTGTCCTGCAGCTATATTTGAACTTTCCTTACAGACACTGGCATTCTGCCAGTTCATGTTCCATGGGGATGGTTCCCCCAATCTAAGCAGGGTTTTTTTTGCAACTAAGGGTATCCACACTAACTCTCTTCTTGCCAGAAAAAGAAGTAGCTGTGGCTCAGAACTTGCTGAACACAGATTTTACCTGGGAATTATGATTGCTTTCGGGGTACATCAGCTCGGAAGAGTTCAAAAGAGTTGAATCTGAAATTTAAAATGTTTATTCAAACTGATTCCCAAACTTCATTGGTTGAAAGAGATTTGAAAAAAAAGAATCTTTTTTAAACTGCATTTTAGTTCCTATAGAAATGCTAGCTAAACCCTACTTGTTCTATACCATTGCAAAATATATAAACTTTCTAGTACTGACGGAACTTTCCTGTTGTGCCTAGCATAAGTCCAATGTAGGAGATTTACCAAAGGTAAATTACTATGCAGCAATGAGTCAAATAGATTTTTCCATTTAGAATTTTTTGTTCTCTAACTTAGGACTGTTGTTAGTCCTAAGTTGCTTCAAGCATATAAGTCACCTTTCTCCAATAACTTTCTCCTTACAATGACTGTAGAACTGAAAATATTAGAGGTGGAAAATGCTATCAGGTTGCTTACTCCTAGATGATCTATTTGGGATGTAAATGCTCTCATCAAAATGTGTTTCACGCATGAAGGGCTTAAATTTCAATATTATATAAAAAGTTTTGCCTGCTGGAGGTAAATTGTGGCAGTTCAGCCACTGCTTTGCTAGCAGTTGAGTCATCTCAGAAGCAACAACTTCCTTCCCAGCTAGGGCTGGGAATCATGAAAGTCATCATAAGTAGTAAGTTAATTGCATCACAGTAATTTTAAAAGTCCAAACCATATGTTTTGGACTCGTATGCCCATTATTTTGTTGCCAGTCATCCTGTTTGTATTCAGGGAAGATTAATGTTTTCAAGGCCTGAAGAGGCTAGAGTGATTCCCCTTTTTCCTTTTTATGCGATTGTAAAAGAAATAACTGGACGAACAGAGGGTTTAGATCTTGAACTAATTTACTTATAAGTAAATTCTTCAATTTTATGGTACACCAAATTGCTTAGTTTTAATTTTATGATGAACCTCTGATATTTTACAGCTGCATAAGTTTGTAAACGTTAAAATGCTATAAAATTAAGACTTGATGTTAATGTAAAAAATTTGGGAAACATCAAAAGTCTATTGAATGACAGTGATAAAATATTCAAATATTAGTATCACTGATTCATATGGAGTACATGATTTGGGGGATTAAATTGTGATATATCTCTTTACAGTTCACTACAGGCAATCTAATGTGTAACATTATACAGTTCTGTCCCATTGAGGGTGCAGCTTGCCTCTACCACTGTCTGCTGGCAGCCAGTCTGAGATTGTCCAGGAGGCAGCCATTCATTCCTGATGGGAATAGATGTAAATCTTCCAGACAGGTGGATGTTAGGGAAGATGTTGCACAGTCACTCAGCCTTACGTAAGAAATTAGCAGGGGAAGATCTTATCTTTAGTATATACTTTCTGAGTAGTGAAAGCAAATTTGCCAAACAATAATTTGGAAGATAGTTTGCTGACCATATCTTTTCAGTTGCTGTACAGATACGATCATCTTACAAGAAATTCAGTCATAGATTTGGTGATAAGCAGTTGAAATCGCTGATC